CACAAACACACTTGTGGTGTTTTTTGATACCATAAAAAACGATCAGACCGCTGACATGGCTCTCTACTTCAGTTATTTCTGGTTGTGCAGCGTCACTATCACGAATGTGATCAAACAGATACCACTCAACCCACTGTTTCCCCTCCCAAAACAGGAACACAAATGGTACCAAGAGGGATTTCAATACTGAACATTAAAATTGGCCTAGTTTTACTTATCGGACCAGTACCGTAACGCTAAAAAATGACCAACATTGTTCGATATCAATGTTAATGCCAATAAACCATGCATCCCTAGTTGTTACTCAAAGTTAATTTTGACTTGTTTCATTCAAGCTTGTTATTGTTAAAATAAACCTGCGCAGATAAACTGCGCCTCCTGGATACAGTGAATTTAATTGTGGTTGGATGAGAAGTATAAACATATAATATACCATTCTGACACCATATTAGTTTGTACACAAATCATGACAGCTGCACATGACACAAATCATGTCACACTCCAGCAGGAAACAGCCTAGCACAGCTAAAACAGGTAGACTAAGTTTTTAGCATTAACATTTTAATATGATATTAAAGTCCTTTCTGTCTTCAGAAAAATGTTTTTCGGGAGAGATCACCTCCCAATAAATGTCCTTTTGGAAAATCTAACTGCTTATTTTTTCCCAATACTTTTATTTTTAACATAAAATAAAAACATAAAAGTAAGAGGTACTTTATACAACACTGTATAAATCCAACAATTTATATTCATGATAACGGTTGATTGTTACGTTCTTTCTTTGCAGTACGTTTGCTTCTAAAAGGAGCAAAATTAAGAAAACAATGAGCCCCACTGGACATACTGTACCCATGTGCAATGTCAGCTGCCAATAAATGACAATACAGATGAAAAATTAGACACAAGTTCTGGTGGAGCAATTTGAATCTCAGTGACATTCAGCTGAGATTAAATTACATAAAAGAGAAATCCATTTTTATGTTTAAGAAGGCAATGTTGTTCTGGGTTTGTTCCTTTTGCATTAATATTGATAAACAAAAACTGCATCAAACTTACTGCAGGACAATTAAATCAAAGTCTGTTAAGTCTGCAATATTTGTGTTATGCTAATTTGATTTGTGCTCAAAATAAAAAAAAACTATGATAAATAATTCCAGTCTCAGTAAAAGATTAAATTATATGAATCGTGGTAAACTCCCGTTTTTGTAAAGTAACTTTTATCTAAATTACATTAAAACAAGTTGCTGTTTGTATTTAATAAAAAATATGAAGTCTTCTTCATCAGTGATTTTTCTTTATTAAAATTTGTTTTCATCCTTTAAGTAGTCAATAACCTCAATGAAACCACAAATCTGATTTACCAGAGTTCAGAGTATGGCTAATTTATTTATTTATTTATTTATTTATTTATTTATTTTTCCATCGAAGAGAAAAGTCATATTTGGGTTTAATTGCAGGGGTTTTTATGCACCCTGAAGTAGGTAGAAAAAAATGTCACAGATGTTTTAAAGCTTTAAGTAAGCTTTGTGCTTACCTCTTCCATTGCACTGATGAGATTCTGTGTTGATTTGTTGATGTCGCCTCCTATGGTAGTGGGACCTCCTCCTGGATAGGTCCCATCAGGACCACCATGGCCATTCATCTCCACCGTGTAACTTGCTTTAGTAGGCCAGCATACCTGGTTGTGCATCATAAAGTACACAATGAAGACATACAAGCCCTGCAGAAAGAGAGAGAGAGAGAGAGAGAGAGAGAGAGAGAATAATCTTTGAATAGCAGTTCATCCATCATTCTGCTTTTCAGCTCCACTTAAATTTAATCCGTAGCTTTATATATGCAGAACAGCTGCTCTAATTTCAGCATGTTTCACCATGATTACTGCAGAATTACTTCATCACCTGACCATGATGCCATCGGTATTTCTGCCCCCCACCCACCCACCTCATCATTACCCAATCATTCTAGTCAACAACAGCAGACTGTGAATTACCCCCCAAAACACCGGACTGCCAAATGTCACAAGGCTGTCCAGCATTTCACAACACTCATCAGCAGGTGATGAAGGTGCTTGCAGATAAAGTTGGAATGCAGAAAAGAGCAAAACACAAATTTGCAGTTTGCACACAAAGACAGAATCCATACCAGAAAAATCACACAATCACATATTAGACTAAAAACAAAATGTTATGGACACTGTAAGTTACATGGTTTTGAGCAACGCTTCTTGTTTATAATAAAAATGTTTAAGTTTCTAAAAGACTGTTTTGTTTTCAAAGATGGCAGTGAGTCCCAACTTCCCACCCTACTCCAAATCTCATTTGTATCTGAGAGGTTATGTCTGCCATTACTAGATCAAAGTGTTCTGCCAAAGCTGTCCACATTACCCTCATTTCCCGAAAGGAACTGATAACGAACAAGGACTTAAAACAGCATGGGTAGCTACAATCAACATTACCAGGAACAGTGGCCATAACTAGAAACTCTGTGTTTACAGGTACATTGTAAAACTGCAGCATCCGCAGAAGAAAACACGGCAGCAAGGAGATGCAAAACACATTGAACACCTCGGAGGTCATTGGTTTTGCTTCATAGTCTGCTGCTTTCTGCAGATGGGACTTATTAAAACAGAAATGACACAGGTGTATACAGCGGGTAAAATAAGTATTGAACACGTCACCATTTTTCTCAGTAAATATATTACTAGAGGTGCTAATGACATGAAATTTTCACAAGATGTCGGTAACAACCCAAGTGACCCATACATACAAAGAAATCAAACCATAAATGTCCAGAAATTAAGTTATTTGTAATAATGTGGAATGGCAC